TACCCCCACTCCCCCACCCCCTCCACCCCCGCCTCCTCCTGCTGACCGGGTGGAACTCAGACCCCAGCCCGGATCCAGCCCTCAGACGCCTTCTGCTGAACCCCTCCCCACCAGAGTGGCCTGCTCCAAGGAGGCCACTGCCCCCCCACCCCCACTCCGAAGGGGGATACCGCCCCAGGTCTATGATCTAGAGGGCTCCAGCCCTGAGGGGCCTCAGCAGCCAGGGCACAGACAGGTCAGGGGACATCCTTAGTGGCTCCTGTCTGGGCTGAGCCCCTCCACAGTCTCAGTCCGGCTGAGGGGGTGGGAGGGGACCATGTGCAGAGAGCTTACCTGGGAGGCCTGTCCCTGTGGTTCAGACACTGCCCTCGGCCAGATGTCTGATTCGATTTGGACACATCAAGAAAAAAAAAAAAAATCCAGTCCAAAGAGGAACTGTCCCTGGCCTAAGGTTAAACCTCCATTATCTCCATGCTGCCCTCACAGGGGAAGGCACCCCAGGACTGCAGCGTGTGGCTGCCATCACTAGGCATGGCCTCCCTGGGAGGAAGCGCCTGGAAGGGGCTCCTTCCTGGGGCGTGGGCACTCTGGAGGGGGTGGCCCCCAGGACCCTGCCTTGCCCAGTCTGTGCCATCTTCACCCTGTGGGGCAGGGTGCATAGTCCAGCTCACTCATGGCCAGTTATGGGCACCCTGGGCTCACAGGGAGTTCAGGCCCCCTGGCCACCAACCAGATGGGCGGAGGCCAGACTCTGCCCGGGCCTCCCTTTAAGCCTCTCCCTCTTAGAGAATCTCAGAGCAGCACATGAGTCCGCCCATTCAAGCCATGGAAAGTCCCAGGCTCCCACCTGAGTGAACCTCTGATTCCCACCAAGGACCCCCTTCCCTTCCACCCAGCCAGCCTCCTTCCTACACTCGAAGGCTTAGAGCAGCCACTCTGATGCTTATCACCCTTGTTCAAATGTCTCACCAACTCAGGGAGCGGAGCCACCTCCGACTGCTACAAGAAAATGTCAGGACTGGCTGGCTCGAACAACACGGGCAGGTTTTTCCAAACCCCCATATAAATGTCCCTAATGAGGAGCTGGGATGTCACCAGGAACCAGCCTCTCCTCTGTCCCCTTAGCCCAAGGTGTCCTTGCCCATCCTTTAGGATTAGCTACCTATCCAAAGGAATCCACTGCGTTGAGGGAGTGGTACAGTAGTACAGCCCTACAAGGTGCTGATCGCTGGACGCAAGAAGTCTTTTTCTTCTCTCATAGATAAAACCTTGACGGCCGGGGCCGGGGCGGAGCTTACTTGGTTTTTCCTCCACCTGCGGTGCCAGTGTCCCATGTGGGCACCGGGTTCTGGTCCCGGTTGCTCCTCTTCCAGTCTGGCTCTCTGCTTTGGCCCAGGAAGGTAGTGGAGGATGGCCTGGGTGCTTGGGTCCCTGCGCCCACGCGGGAGACCGGGAGGAGGCACCTGGCTCCTGGCTTCGGATCAGTGGAGCGCTGGCCGTGGTGGCCGTTTGGGGAGTGAACCAAGGAGGGAAGACCTTTCTCTCTGCTTCTCTCTCTCACTGTCTATAACTCTACCTGTCAAATAAAATAATAATAATAATCTAAAAAATAAAATAAAACCTTGACGGCCAGTATTGTCCAGAGGGGTTTGTGCGGGGGAATTCCAGGTCTGGGGCAGAAGGTAACTGCTACCCGCATGTAATCCCCCAGACCAACCGGAGCCTACCTGGCCATCGGGAAAATTCCCCAAAGACCACAGCATCACCGCCCAATCCAAGGAAGGCCCTGAGCACCCCTGCCCAACCTGGGACGTGCACACGAGCTGTGCACACACCCGTCAGCCCCAACTTCAACCTGTAAGAGCCTTCACCCCTCAGCCCTTGGGGAGTCCAGGAATTCAGCAGTAGCCGTCCAGCTCCTTGCTTTGTGCATTGCAAACAAACACCTACTTTCTTCCACCACACCGATGTCAGTGACTGGCTTTCTGGGTCGGGCAAGCAAGACCCGGTTTTGGGGTTTTACAGCGACTTCTCCAACTGGTTTGGGGGGTTGCTCTTAACAAGATCAAGAGCAACAGGGATGTCCGGTGAGGGCTCACTCCCTGGTTTATGGACGGCCACCTTCCTGCTGCATCCTCACAAGGTGGGGAGAGAAAGCCCCTCTCTCAGTTCCCTTTCTAAATCTGTGAATCCCATCACTACATCCAGTTCTCACCTAATCACCTGCCCAAGACCCCACTTCCTACCACCACCACATGGGGAGTTAGGATTTCAACCTAGGAATCTGGGGGATATGCGAACATTCAGTCCATATCAGGGACAGACATCCATCGTACTGTGAGCATTACAATGGGCCCTGTGATAGTGACAAAGCACCACACTTGAGTCACCTCCCCAAATGCAGCCAGTCCTCCAGAGCGCCCAGTGGCGCGGCCAGCTCTGCCTGGGTACCCTTTGTCGTCTTTCTCCCCCACCATTCCCATCTCACAGGTGCAGAAACTGACACCACCAAGGAGTCAGGTACTTGTCCAAAGTCCCTCAGCCAGTGCAGGGTGAAGCAGAGTCTGAAACATGTCTGACTCAATATCCAAACAGACCGAAAGAGTAACCTGGTGACCCTAGCCATCTCTGGACCTTTGGGGGGTGGTGTTGAAAGGTCAAAATTGCTTCCATAACAATAAGGAGCAGACCGGGTCTTTTTCACTCTCATTCTCCTGCAGATGTGTCGAGGAGTCTGTGGTCTGCAGTAACAGGTCAGCACTCCAGTGGCTGCTCAAATGTGTGCTTCTGTCTTCCTGTGTTTTAGACTTCTTAGTTTTAAAGTCTATCATAGCAAACACACATAGACAAGGTAGGCAGGTATAGGGAACATTTGCTCATTTTCATTGTGTAAATATTTTCACAATGGCCAAGTTTAAGTTGGAAAGAGAGGTGCTCTCACCACAGGCTGGTGAGAGGTGCAGTTCCAGCTCCCCTGACCCCAGTTCAGCACCCAGAGACAAGTGTGCTTCCAGCCACTCCCATACGCACACACCCGGAACTCAGTACCCAGAGACGGGGCTCTCCGGGCCCTCAGTGTTTTTGTGTTTGTTTTTAAAATATTTTATTTATTTGAGAGGTAGAGTTACAGACAGTGGGAGAGACAGAGAGAGGTCTTCCATCCACTGGTTCACTCCGCAATTGGCCTCAATGGCTAGGCAATTGGCCTCAACGGCTAGAGCTGCACCGACCCAAAGCCAGGAACCAGGAGCCTCCTCCAGGTCTCCCACGCGGGTACAGGGGCTCAAGGACTTGGGCCATCTTCTACTGCTTTCCCAGGCCATAACAGAGAGCTGGATTGGAAGAGGAGCAGTCAGGACTCAAACTGGTGCCCATATGGGATGCCAGTGCCACAGGCAGAGGATTAACCTACTGCACCACAGTGCCGGCCCCGCCCTCCGTGTTTTTTGAGTGTGAAGTGGTCCTGATGTGAAAGCGTCTGAGCCATGACTCCGCCTCTGAACAAATAATGTGCCAAGGAATCCTTGTCTGGCCTCAGACCCCGGGAGGCAGCGCGCCTGGGCCACACCTTCTGGAAGTTGCAGCCCCACTGGGAGTCCCTGATGGAAGACTGAGCAAGGGAAGGATTCACGGAAGGGCTGGAGGGAGAGGGCTTGGGGTCCAAGGAGGCTGGAGGTGCAGACCCTCTACTGGACCCAGCTTTCTAATTTTTTTTTATTTTACTTGATAGATAGAGTTGGACAGTGAGAGAGAGACAGAGAGAAAGGTCTTCCTTCTGTTGGTTCACCCCCCAAATGGCCACTACGGCTGGAGCTACGCTGATGCGAAGCCAGGAGCCAGGTGCTTCTTCCAGGTCTCCCATGCGGGTGGAGGGGGCCAAGCACTTGGGCCATCCTCCACTGCCTTTCTGGCCACAGCAGAGAACTAGACTGGAAGAGGAGCAACCAGGACTAGAACCCGGCGCCCATATGGGATGCTGGCGCCGCAGGCAGAGAATTAACCAAGTGAGCCATGGCGCTGGCCCCTAGACCCTGCTTTCTAATGAAAGCAGCTGCTATCTGCCCATTGGCACTGCCGCATGGACACTGGGGAATCCCCCAGGGTGCTGGGCCTGGGGGCTTCAAGACCAGTTGTCGGGGGGAAAGGGTGCTCCAGTAGGATGCTGGATTGAGCCACTCTAGTTAGACTTGACTTTGTTCCCTGACCCTGAAACTGACCTGCAGCAGGAGGGAGGACGCTGAGCCCGAGGCCCAGTGGGCCAGAGACGGTCCTGACCCCGCCACCGCCCGCCAGGCTTTTTCTGAGCAGTGACACTGGTCAGCTGTGGTTTAGCAGCCAGAACTCAGAGCTTCAGCTGGGGTGACGGTTGGGTGGGCACCTGCGGGCTCTTCCAGGGAAATAAGCCTGGGCCCGGCAATGCTGGTGAGGATGAAGGGTGCCCAGGAAACAGATTGGACAGCCCCCCCCCGGGGGGCGGGGGGGCGGAAGGCGGAGACATCTGATGCCAGAGCCCAGTGCGACAGGCGACAAAGAGCGCCGGGGAGGCGGCCACGGAGGGCGCCCTGTGGTGTAAATTCCTTGTCCTCACCCTGCTGGAAACTGCCAGCTGCCGGGGCTTCCTGTCTGGGGGGCCCAGGTGGCCTGGTCCTCATCTGTCTCACTACTCTGTGGCAGCTGTTGCTTTGGGTCTCCCAGAGCCCTGCTTCTGGCGACACCAGGGCGTGCATGGCCAGGCCTGTTTTCTGTCTCTCGCTGTCCCCAACACCTGCTGGCTGGTCCGTCTCTGATGGCCGGGTGAGACCAGGCAGGGACGTGGTGAGCTTGGAGCTGCAGATGACGTCGTCCCCGCTCTGCAAAGCCAACTCCAGGGTGGGCGAGTGGGAGCCCACCCTAGCTCTGGGAGATCCCAGGCAAATGCCTCCAAGACACCTCTTTGCCCAAGGGGAGAAGGCGGTTTGGTTTCAGTGCCTCCTAATGAAAAGTCGGATTTTCACTTGCAGCAATGGGGAAACGAGGAAACGGATCACTGAGCAGGGGGCATCCGCAGCCACCGGGGCAGGCATCGTCATCGCCCAGTCACCGTCACCCCTGCCCACAGAGACTTCAGAGGCACCGAGTGCCTTTGGCATCAATCAGCCCGTGGAAGTCTCCCAACCCTGCAAAAGAGGCAAGATCTCCTCCCAACTTGTGGGTTACAGTTGAGGGAACACAAACTTTGCTCGGCTAGGTCACGCAGCTGCTACCCCGTGGCGCCAGGAGCTCTGACAGTGCCGCCAAGGTGGAAGAGATGGGATGGGGGTTCCACGTGCTCGGTTCCAGACATCGGGTAAAGTGAGGCACTGGCACCCATGCTCATCACCCCCGGGGGCTGGGGAACAGCCCCGCAGTGAGGGTGTGAGCCACGCCCCTCTCTGCACAGCGGCGCTGTGGCTGCAGGCTCCCTAGGTTTGCGGGCAGGAAGGGGAATTTGGCACGGCTCCCAGCCATGCTCTTGCAGCCAGGCTCAAGTTCTCTGCCCCAATACCAGGAGGCGCAGGAGTTCAGTGGACACAGAGACCAACGCCTCCGTTGGCCCCACCTCCAGGAAGTACGTAGGTGGACTCAACCAAACAGCACAGGGCATTCACTGGCCCCCGGCACCTGCCTCAAGTGTGAGCTTGTGGCCCGCGTTGGGCCTGTCAACTTAAATGGCGGTCAGAGACAGAGTTTGCCAAGAGTCACATTTATTTGGAAATAGCGGAGCACTGCCTCGGGAACCCAGGTGCCGAGGTAAACGCTGGGCGCATGCGCAGAGGTCCCAGCCAGGGGTCAGGGAGATTACTGAGGTAAAGCTGCTTGGAGACAAAGCTCGTGGGTCTTGGAGACACGAGGGAGGAACTGGCCTGAGCTCATGGCCGGAGGTGCCATTGCTGGGAGTGATCTGTCCAGGACACTGTGAAGGGGCCAGCGTTGCGGCGCAGTGGGGGAAGCCACTGCTCGTGACGCGGCACCCCGCATCCTAGCGGAGCTCCGGCTCAAGTCCCAGCTGCTCCACTTCCCTTCCCGCACCAATGCCAATGCCCCTGGGAAGGCAGTGGAAGGTGGCCCAAGTGCCTGGGGCCCTGTACCCCATGGGAGACCCGGAAGAAGCTCCTGGCTCCGGATCGGCGCAGATCCAGCCATGCGGCCATCTGGGGAGTGAACCAGCGGACGGAAGGCCCCTCTCTCTGCCTCTCCCTCTCACTGTCTATAACTCTACCTCTCAAATAAATAAATAAAATATTTCAAAAAAAGAATATCCAGGACAGAGAGATGCCAACAAAAGCAGTTACTCATACACATATTCACAAGAGCTAAGGAAACCAGGTAGGGGCCCGCAGAGCCTGATTTTAGTGTAACAAGAAGCGGAAGGCGGGGAAGCGGAAGTGGCGGCAGCAGCAACAGCAGCAGCAGCAGCAGCAAAAAAACACCGGGGGGGGGGGGGGCAGGGGGAGGAGAAAGAGGAGATACATTGAACGAGGCGAGAATGAAAAAGCTGCCCGAATGAGAAAGCTGCCCGTGTCAGCCATACCTCAGCTACCCCAAGCAGCACACCTTGGAGAAGGAATGACTTGCCTCCCACTTGCGGCTGGAAGAGGGACTTCAGTTCAGACTTGAGATTTGAACAGAGGTCCCAGGCCCACCTCAGTAAGTCCCAGGACCAGACAGGGCTTGGACTTTGGACCCTCGTCTGCAAGGTGGCCTTGGGACTGGTCTCCCCACCACCACCCCCTCCCCCGACCTCAAGCCAACAGAGGAGCAAGACTACCGGCGCCGCGGGGGAGTAGGGCAGGAAGATGAGCTCAGGACTTTGGGCTCAGTGCTGAGCCTGGCAGTGAAACCAGTCCCAAGGTAAGCCCGAAGGCGAGCATCCCCATGCGTGTGCCAAGTCTCTGTATCTGCCCTGGCATCAGGGGGAGACCTGAGCCCTGGGGGCACAGACTCACTTTGGAACTCGGTGCCAGGCTGGTAAAACCCAGCGCTGGGCAGATCCTAACGGTCGGTGTCTCCAAGCCAAGGCTTGCTTGTGGTTTCAAGGCTGGCTGGAAGCTTCCGCAGGAGACCACATGGGTCCGTCCGAGGATCCAGTCTGCATGCCACCCACACTGAGGGTCTCTGAGGTGCCCAGATGCGCGGCTGGCTCGCCGGGTGCACCGAGAGCTCAGGTTTTCATGGTGTTTTGCAGTAAATTCTGGAAAATACTCTCGTTTCATGTGTGATTTCTGGTAAGCAATCACTTATGCCTTGTTGCATTTGTACTCCAGGCTTTCTCCCAGGACGAGTGGGACAGGTAACTGTGCTCAGACCCTGGTGACGTGAGCTCTGTCACTCAGGAGTGACAAGTTGCTGCTATGCAGAAGGGGTACGTGATATTCCTTCCTGGGATGCACGTTTCTGTGTGTCCAGGACTTACTGAGTAGCTACTAAAAAACAGTAAATAAATGGGCACAGGGGCCTTTTGCACAAAAAACTGGTTAGGAATTGATCCAAGTATTGGACAACCGAGGCTGTCAGTCTGCACACGCATCACTGTGATAGAGATGAGATTTTCAAGGATGAAGAAGCAAGTCAACCACAGTGAGACTTAACAGTTTCCTTAAAGACAAAAAAAAAAAAATAACCCTCTAAATCCTGGCAGCAGGCAGCAATAAAAAACCTTATGTATATTTATAATGGCTCTCTCTCTTTTTTTTTTTTTTTTTTTGACAGGCAGAGTTAGACAGTGAGAGAGAGAGAGAGAGAGAGAGAGAAAGGTCTTCCTTTTTTCTGTTGGTTCACCCCCCAAGTGGCCACCATGGCCGGCGTGTTGCGGCTGGCATGCTGCGCCGATCCGAAGCCAGGAGCCAGGTGCTTCCTCCTGGTCTCCCATGCGGGTGCAGGGCCCAAGGACCTGGACCATCCTCCACTGCACTCCCTGGCCACAGCAGAGAGCTGGCCTGGAAGAGGGGCAACCGGGACAGAATCCGGTGCCCCAACCAGGACCAGAACCTGGGGTGCCGGCGCCACAGGCAGAGGATTAGCCTTGTGAGCCGCAGCGCCGGCCTATAATGGCTCTTTTATATATTGTAGTGTCAAAGAAAGAAGAAAGAAACTCACTTCCCCATTTCAGAGGGAGATGTTTTGTGTAGCTGTTAAGACACTGCTCGGAACGCTCACACCCCATGGCAGAGTGCTGGGTTCAAGTCCTGGCTCCGCTTCTCATTCCAGCTTCCTGTTCATGCACATCCTATGAGGCAGCAGATGGTGGCTCAAGTACTTGAGTTCCTGCCACCCACATGGGAGACCCAGATTGAGTTCCAAGATATGCTGGCTTCAGACTGGCCCAGCCCTGAGTGTTGAGGACATTTGTGAAGTGAACTGGCAAATCTGTGTGTGTGTGTGTTTCTCTCTCTTTCTCTCTCCCCCCCACACACTCAAATACAAATTAATAAATAAATTTCAAAATTTTAATTAGGGGGCCAGCACTGTGGTACAGCGAGTTAATGCCCTGCCCTGAAGCGTTGGCATCCCATATGAGCACCAGTTCAAGACCCAGCTGCTCCACTTCCAATCCAGCTCTCTGCTATGGCCTGGGAAAGCAGTGGAAGATGGTCCAAGTGCTTGGGCCCCTGAGCCCTCTTAGGAGACCCAGAAGAAGCTCCAGGCTCCTGGCTTCGGATCAGCGCTGCTCCAGCTGTTGCAGCCAACCGGGGAGTGAACCAGTGAATGGAAGACCTCTCTCTCTCTCTCTGCCTCTGCCTCTGCCTCTCCTCTCTCTGTGTAACTGACTTTCACATAAAAATAAATAAATCTTTTTTAAAAAAATTTATTTATTTATTTATTTATTTGACAGGCAGAGTGGACAGTGAGAGACAGAGAGACAGAGAGAAAGGTCTTCCTTTGCCATTGGTTCACCCTCCAACACTGCGGCTGCCGCACCGCGCTGATCCGAAGGCAGGAGCCAGGTACTTCTCCTGGTCTCCCATGGGGTACAGGGCCCAAGCACTTGGCCATCCTCCACTGCACTCCCTGGCCACAGCAGAGAGCTGGCCTGGAAGAGGGGCAACTGGGACAGAATCCAGTGCCCCGACCAGGACTAGAACCCAGTGTGCCGGCGCCTCAAGGCAGAGGATTAGCCTAGGGAGCCGCGGCACCGGCCCTAAAAATTTTTAATTAAAAAAAGAAACTCCCACTTCATTCTGACCAACCCACCAATGGTGGATCTGGGACAAGCCTACTACAAAGGCACGCAAGCAGCAGCCTCCCAACAAATTCTGCTCAGGGCACTGCCAGGTACCAGGAGAGCAGAAGTGCCCACAGGCTCAGAGAAAATAAGGACACCACTTAGAACTTCTGGAAGGATCGGAACCAAAAAAGGCCGGTAAAGAAGACGGGAGGGGCTGGCGCTGTAGCATAGCAGGTAAAGCCACTACCTACGGTGCCAACATCCCATTTGGGCACCGGTTCAAGACCCAGCTGCTCCACTTCTGATCCAGCTCTCTGCTGTGGCCTGGAAAAGCAGTGGAGAATGTCCCAAGTCTTTGGCCCTGCACCCGCATGGGAAGACCCGGAAGAAGCTCCTGGCTCCTGGCTTCGGATTGGCACAGCTCTGGCCACTACGGCCAACTGGGGAGTGAACCAGTGGATAGGAGACATCTCTCTCTCTCTCTCTCTCTCTCTCTCCCTCTGTGTATGTGTGTGTAACTCTGACTTTCAAATAAATAAATAAATCTTAAAAAAAAAAGACTGAAAAAAATTCCTTATCCTTCAGTGCGTAGACAGCATCAAGAGCTCTCAAGAAACTACCACCTCACCCAACTAACAAAATAAGATTCCAGAGAGTAACAGATGTGTGCAGCTCCTCAGATGCAGAATTCAAAGCATGAAAGGAGGCTACTTGAAAAGCTACAGTTGGAGGAGAAGAATGAGGAAATAGTACAGGAACTCTGGGATAGCATTTAAAAAGAAAATTCCGGGGCCGGTGCTGTGGTACAGTGGGTTAATGCCCTGGCCTGAAACACCGGCATCCCATATGGGCACCAGTTAGAGACTTGGCTGCTCCACTTCCAATCCAGCTCTCTACTATAGCCTGGGAAAAAGCAGTGAAAGATATCCCAAGTCCTTGGGCCCCTGCACCCATATGGGAGACCCAGAAGAAGCTCCAGGCTCCTGGCTTCAGATCAGCCCAGCTCTGGCCATTGCAGCCATTTGGGGAATGAACCAGCAGATGGAAGACCTCTCTCTCTCTCTCTCTCTCTCTCTCTCTCTCTCTCCTTCTCTCCCTCCTTCCCTCTGCCTCTCTGTATATCTCTGCTTTCCAAATAAATAAATAAATCTTTAAAAAAAAAAAAAAAAGAACTCATGGGCAGATTTTAAGACTATTACGGGTATGTCATTGCAGCATTAATTTGCATTTTCTGGTAAGGGAGGGGCAACATCTTTTTATGGGTTTACTCACCATTAGGATTAACTCTTTGGCAAAGTCCCTCAGTGAATGCCTTTCACAATACCCTATTACATTGTGTTTCTCCTGAATATGAGTCAGTTGCATGTGCTACAGGCGTGTTCTCCCGCTGTCAGCTTCTGGGGGGAACAGACGTCTTCATTTCGCTGTAGCCCACTTGGTCGGTCTTGGGCTTTATGGCTTGTGTTTTTACATCCTGTCTGAAGTTTTCCCTACCCTCAGTCACGAAGTTCTCTTCTTCCTGGAATGCCATTTGGCTGTGTTACCCTGCTAGGCTGAGCCACAGATGTGGCCGTGGCCTTCTGAGCACACCCATGCCTAGCCCACGTGGTGCCACAAAGAGATTTCACAGATGTGAGGATAGTCGACTTAACAGGCAAAGGGAGCTTTTCCCGAATGAGCCTGACTCAGTCAGCTGAGAGGCCTGCGGGAAAGGGCTTGGGCATTCCCTGATCCCTGAGCTGTGCTCCAAACAGCCCTGGGGTCTCCTGACGCCTGCCCTATGGACTTTAGTCTTGCTTAGCCAGCCCCACGGTTGTATGAGCCAAATCCATGTAGCAAATCCATATGTTCACACACACACACACTCGCACACACGTACACGCACACCCATGCACACATGCATACACACAAATGTACATGATCACTGGCTCTGCTTCTCTGGTTGAGCCCTGAGTGATAGACCTACACTATTTTCTAAAACCATTTTATTTTGTCTGTCTCATTTAAGTCTAAATCCACCTGGGTTTGATATTTTTGAGGCGTGGTGTGAGGTAGGGGTCAAGGGTTGCTTTGGCTTTTTTTTTTTCTACTTATATACTCAATAATCTATCACCTATTATTAAAAAGTCCTTTTTTCCCTACTGCTTAGCCAGCATAAATCAAGAATGCAGGTACAATCTAATTCCGTGTTGATCTACTTTGGCCACCAAGAAGTCTGTCTTCAAATTTGCCGCCTGCTGGGAGGGCTGT